CCCCACATTTTTTCAAAATTTAGCTAAGCAATCAAAATGATTTATTATTTCTTACTTTTTTAATCAAACAACTTCTTTATGGTTTCAAGGAAGCAATGCTCACAAATAATAACCCAGAATTACACCAGAAATATCTTTCTCGAAATTTACAAGGCAATAAATAATCTCTTGATAATATTTCGTTGGAACAAAAGGATATTTCAAATTTAATAAAATAAGCTCACTGTTCCAATAGTTTGTTAAAATTTCCTAACTATTCGACGCACCACGTCGTTCTGTTATCATTCAGAAATATTTGAAATTCCTTAAAAAAATATGCAAAGTATTAAAAAAAAAAAAGAAGATATTTTAATGGAAAATAATTTTTCCAAAGCTCAAATATACATTTCTGAAATTTCGATATTTCGTATGAGAAAAAAAAAAGAAAGAATATTCTTTGATCACGCAATAGTACGTGATACATAGGCAACGCTACATTATCGGTGCTGGCGTTCACAATATATGCTGCAAATGTTATTATGTAGTACCTAATACTTGATAACTAGCGTATATACTGACAGCGTGCTGAAATTAACAAATATGGTACACGCTTCTATCAGTGCTTGTTCCTTCAACGATGGTCAATTAATACAACATCTCGATTATTCAAGCACTGATTAACAGAATATCCGATTACACGATACGCTGAAGTATAATATAACCAAATACAAATTTACGTTTCCTGGGGAACTTTGAATAATTCGTTGCTCCTCTTTTTTATTCAACAGCTGCAGAATAATTAAGTGGGAAACGCCTAAATAATCGGGAAGTTGAAATAATAATATTAAAGTATAGTACAATAGCAAAGTTGAAATAGTAAATCGAAGTGCCATAAGTGGATATATTCAATGGAAACGAAAAGCGCGTTTCCCAATTAATTTACTCATTTTGTTTTCCAATTCAATTAATCACTAGTTCGAATAATCGAGTTTTCCACGACCACGGTTTTTTCTTTTTTCTTTTACCGTTTGGGAAAAAATGTTCAGTCATCCGGCCGACGTTACAGCTAGCGTAAGGAAGATATTTAAAAGAAATATTATAAAATATATTAATGAAATGGAAGAAAAAGTCGTGTTTCCACGTGGCTAGTTGAAAGTCAACATTGATGCAAAATAAATTTCTTGAATCTTCGTGAAACTAGAGCTGCAACGCTGGCGAAACAAATGCTTTTTTCCCAAAGGATACCGGTTAATACTACCACTTTGAGATTGATCGAATCTTCGACCAATATTTGTTCACGTAAGAAGAAAATTCTCTCTCGATCAAGTACGACTGTTGATCAAAGAGAACAAACACTTTGGGGCACGATTACTTAAGAAAGGAGATAGAAAATGTTGAAAGCAGCACGACATTTTATGTACAAACTGTACAATATACTTCGAGTCGAAGTACCCTTCGTTTTCAACCCTTTGTAAAATTGAACAATAATATATCGTAAAAACGTGACAAGTGAAAGCACACTGTCTTTTATCTGGTTTCGAGATCAAATACATATTTCTGCTAGCTTCAGGAATGTTTCAGAAATATTAACTGTCATAAGTAGATTGGAAATATTTATGCGAATTCATATTTTTATGAGTGGAATTGAAAAAATTGAATGTAGATAGAAAATTGATCCACGAAACACAATTAATGCTATGTTTGGGAAATTTTCTGTATCTTTTACATCATTTTCACATCTTCCAATTTCCTACAAATAGGCATAAGCTTAAAAACCCTTGTAAGGTCAATTATTAACTTTTTACAAATCTTATCTACTAATTTCGATCGGTGAATGTTTCTTAAATCGAAACGTGTCGAATTAGGAATAGAAATTAGCAAGTAAATTTCATTATTCGTTTCAAAAGTTATAAGTGATATATTAAAATCCAATGTAACATTGGTCAGAATGAAACAAAGGGTTGAAGAAACGATTGAAAAGGTTTTCAATGAGAAAAGAGCGGGTTCAAAGGTGTGTTGCCTACTTAAATGACACTGTATCTCTCGATAACAATTTGTTCGTGGCGTTCAGTCTTCGTGGAAATCGCCATTTCATTAGGAAAGACAAAATAAAGTTTCTCTTTATTAATCCCTTGTCTTATAACTCGTTTAAATACGAAAATCTTTAAGATACTATAGGAAGGTACGATCTAACGATTATTTCAATTTGTAAGTTGCAAAGAAATTAGAAATTGAAACGAAAATTTATTTTCCACTATAGTCTATCGTGAACATAATACGAATATTTTAAGACAAAGGATCATACATGAACTGGTAACTCGTTCGATTATGTTCCTCACCTTTTTATTTGTGTGCTTCCTATATCAGTTAATTTATGACATTCGACGAATTATTTTCTATAATTTTTTACATAATTTGTGCTATATATTGTAGTATAGTGTAGTATCGTGGACAGATTGCCTGGGAGATATCGGGTGTGTGTTGTCAGCGTTGTCAAGGAGTGTTGTCAGCGTATTTAGAAGAGAACCATTGTAACGAGAGTAATTAGTGACGAGTAGTGATAGTGTAAACATAGATTGACGGAGCATCAAACGATATTGTAACAATCATACCGTTACCAAACCTATTGGCACTATACCATTTCCTACATATATTTTATGTAATTGTAAATTATAAAATAAAGTTCACACCAACGCACGCGGATGATCTTATAAATTTTCACGGGGAAACCAAAGGCTGCACCTCGTTTGGAGCGCCATAAAAATGTAAACCGGGCTTAAAAATCTAAATCGAAGGTAGAATTGAAGGAATCGATAAAAGTACTTCGTTTGGTAATTTTGTTTTATTTTTTATTGAAGTTTCTTCGTTTTCGTTTCGGTTAGAGCATAAAAAAACTTATCTACGCTTAAAACATGGCCTTCGATATGAAAAATATTATGATTAACTATTTCATGAAATAATTGAATTTTAAACGCGATATTGTATTGTAAAAACAAATAGATGATCAAAATTCATGCTCTTTTTCGAAACACGTCATTCGATGTTTCAAAATAAAAAAAAGGAAATAAATAATTGACAGTAGCGTACAAAAAATTGCCAATTCGTATCTTGAACGAGAAACAAAAATATGACATATACAGGGTGGTTGGTAACAGGTGGTACAAGCAGGAGGGGGTGATTCTATGCGAAAAAAGAAGTCGAAAATATAGAATAACAATTTTTGGTTTGAGGCTTTGTTTTCGAGAAAATCGACTTTAAATTTTCGCTCAGTACGCGTGCACTTTATCACGTCTCGTTATAACGGGTCTCACTGTAGATCGTTGTCTCGATGGAAAAATTTAAAAAAAAAATGTAGAAAAAAATACTTTTATTCTTTATTTTTGACTTCTTCTTTCGCGTAGAATCACCCCCTTTCCGCTTGTACCACCAGTTACCAACCACCCTGTATCTGCATGTGCAACTCAAATAGTTTTCAGAATTGAGCGAATACATAAATCAAAAAATTGGACAGTTCCGAAGAAATTAATTGTATAAAATGTCAAAGTTCTATCGTTTCTCCGAATGTCGAAATGTCGTTTATATTTTGCCACGTTTTTGCTAACAAAACATAATACTGCAGCGTTTCACACATAAACTGAAGCGCCAGAAAAATTCCGATATATTTTAACAAATACAAAATTACAGAAAAGTCTAAAACGCTTGTCCTTAAAAAAACAGAAGCAACATTTGCTGCAAAATCCCGGTTATTTCGAATTCAAACTTGCGAACGCGTCAATCCACGAAGAATCAAACACGAGAGAATTTTAAATATCACCAAATTTCTGCTCACTGAAATGTCCACGAGAAACATTTTATTGAAAAACGCGAACGATTCGACACCGAACGTGTCTCAACAATAAAAAAAAAAAAAAAAAAAAAAAAAAAAAAGGGAACTGGTAGTTCTAGCGTTAATTTCCTCGAATTCTACACAGCAGTTCTTCGTTTCTCCGTAAAAGAAAAGAAAGAACAGAAGAAAAATTACGAACGTGACGAAGATATAACAAAGACCATCGATCGCGAAGGAGGAAGGAACTTGAAGGGTTTGCACGAAGAACAACGTAAAAGCAAAGGGAAAAAACAGCCATGTATAATGTTACATCGTGATTGGTCATTGCTCTCCGATATGAATATCATTGTTATTATTAAAACGATCATTAGACGAGCACATTGTATATATATATGTGTATATATATATAATAATAATAATTAGATACTATATATAAATACTATATATAGTATGTCATTAATTAATCTTTTTTTTCTGTCTTTCTTTTTATTTCGTTTTTTCTTTAATTTCAGTTTCGTTCGTTCTTTGGTCAGGTTAACTTGCGGCAATTTGATCGAACTTCGCAACTTCGTAAACGGTTCCGGTCTGGACGTTTAAGCATTGTCCTGAAAATGAAAAATGAAATAGCCGAATTAGTAGCGGGAACGCGTGCCAGTTTGCGCGCGAAAACAGTTATTCAAAATATGAGAAAAAAAAAAAGAAAAACAAAAAGAAAGAGAAGGAGGTAGTTAAAGGATATGATGGATGTAGCTGCGTCGCGGATCGATCCTGTACGCCATTCCACGCGAGCATTCCTGTTAATTTCGAACAGAGCAATAAGCGACTCGACGTATAGAAATATTACAGGGTGATTTATAGACATACAACAATTCTTTTCTAGATGGATTCATGAAAGAATTGGTACTTTCTGTTGTTTTTTCTTTTTCACCAAGAATAGGAATAATTTTACCAACGATAAAAGTCAGTTTCTAGGAAGAAACAGATATGAATTGTAGATTTTAACGAGTACGTTTTTTAGATTCTATGTAGCGAGCCACGAAATGAGGATAAAGAACAACGTTAGAAGATTGGTGCTTATGTAACGGAAGGCACATTTAATCTGATAGATATTAAATTAAATACGATTTAAATTTGATTTACATAATTCAATTTAAATTTAAATTCGGCTACTTTGATATAATTGGAATTTAAATTGAATACGACACGTAATGATGTGTTTTCGTTTAATCTTGTGAAAATGAAATCCGAATATTTAGGATTTATCGCGAAATAACGATAACATAATATTATTTAGTTTGCATGCAAACTTTTGTGTCATTATGTGTATCCAGTGAAGAATATTTTTTGACCAATAAAATACAAAATTACGACTAATTATTCACCTGGGAAGGTTTTAAAAATCACCCTGTATGAACATTTTTCACGCAATTTAGGTAGCGGAAACGGCGAATAGATCTATTTAAACGGAAGAAGAATAGCATTTGATGCAAATTTGGACGAAATTCAACCCTGAACTGAAAATAATGATGATGAAATATTCTCACGATATTAACATATTAACAAAAGGAAGAAAATAACGTTTTAATATATACAAACATAGAACAAAATATCCACATGTGCATTTGAGGGAAAAATTTATAAATGACAAGTATTTTAAACACACATTCGTATTGTTTCAGACAGAATTATTTTACTATTCGTTATTAATAAACATTCAAAACATTCTGTATCGATTATCCTTCATGTAATTAAATTACGAATAAATTAGAATTAAAAAGTCATTAATAAGATGAATGATATAATAATTATTTTCCGGGGTAAAGTAACAAAGACTGAACTCTTCGACAAAAACTACTTTAATATGCGATAAATATCACGACTATATGAAGATCTAAAAATGCACACGAAAATACGAATCATTTTAACAACTCCAATGAACAATTTCCAAGTCTAATTTAATCCTTGGAAAATATAAAATATCTGATGTCGCCTCATTTCTCCAGTTAAGGGTTGAAAATCGCCACAAAGTGAGAATTCGTTCGTCTATTTAAATTCTAACTTCTAATTCATCTAAAATAATTGAAGAAGAAAAAAACCAAAAGCGAAAAGAAAATTTCTAAACAGCTACAGTGTTATATTCTTCCTCTATAGTAAACGATTCATGCTTGTGTAAGTATAACAGATGCTGCAGCAAGAGCACAGAGTGGATGTACGTATCTCGACAAGGCAAACCTTTCTCATTTATTTCTTTTAGTTTTCCACCGTAGAATCGACGTTAACAACATAAAAAGTAAGCTGGAAAGAATCGTGCAATTGCAATTCGGATCGATTTTCATGGAAATTTTGCCTTGTGTCAGATCGAGGATCGGACTGGCGAAGGGAAAGTTTCGAAAGTTTCTTAACAAGCATCGAATCGATTGTTGAAATGCACTTCTGCCACTTAAACGTCGTATTCTAGGTATCTTCGGTGACGAAGAAACGGTTCCTGATGAATTTCATTGATCTAAGGAAGTTTTAAATTTAAGAGAAGCGATTCGATGGTCACGAGCGAGAAAAATAAACGAATTTCTGGAGATTGCGAAACTTCGAAACTTCCTCCGCTCTGTCTATGCCACATTTAACTTGAATTTTTATGTTCTTCTTTCGTTCGTTCTCTTCTTCTTATCCTCCTATTCCGTTTCTATCTTTTCCTTTAAATATATCGTTGATCGTGTCGATGCGGGGATGCAAATGATAAAGCTGGATAATTTCTTGTTTTTAAATATGTACGAGCAGAGAGAAGGATCATGTGTTCGTATTAATAGCAACAATTACGATGATGATACTGGTCTAATGTTTTAACGAATCGTTGAAATGCCTTCGAAAGTTGATACTAATATCACGAAATTATCTTGAGAAAATATATTATGAGATCGAATGGAGAAACGCATACTTCTTTGCCAAAGGGAGACACGAGGAAACTTTTTACTGTCTCAGTCAATTTGCGGTAAATAATTTTTGAAATTCGAAAAAATTATAGATAAATATAAGAGAGAAACATTATGAGTACACACAGACTTTTCAAGTACAACTAAAATAATTATTACGAGCTATTAATATATTTCTGATTTTTTTTTATTTTAAAGCAATTCTCATTTGATATACGTAAATTAAATATATGTCTTTGGGGAATTTTTATAAATTTCTTTTATTTATTCTTCACCCGATAATAAATTATTTTTCCACAAATCTCGTTAATTCTCTACCAACATCTAATCTCACATTTTCACCTGCAATATTACCACTTTTAATCAATCTAGCTCTACTACCCTCGTCCAGAAACAGGCCGCAAAGGGCTGAGTTCATCAAAGACCAGTAACCATCATGAAATGATCCCACGTTCCCTCGTTTTACCGGATATTCCCAACGCGAGCCAATCGAAACTACCGCACTGACACGACCACATGATAATGCGGCCTACACACACTGAAATATTTTATAATGCAAAAGCATCCTGACCTACATGATGCAGCTAACAATGTGTGCACTATATGCATGGCATATTATCCTCGCTAGATTGCAGATATTTATGGAAATACACATTTTGGCAGACAGAACTAAAGAAATGGAAGATAAGTAGAGATTTGCTTCATTTTCCAAATGTCACATTTCTTTAATTTATTCTTAATTATTTCCCTTTATAATTATATATTCTACTTTCGATAGTTTCTTTTTGTATATTATATGTATTTTGTGCGTTTTGGTAATGAATTTATTAATTAATAAGATGTATTTATAAATGCATAAAGATACGCTGTTCAAACATTAGAATACCATCCTGGTTTATCGATCGTGGTGCACCTTTTGAGGAGAGAATTTTTCTTCATTCTTCGTTGGGAAATTTCTACGCAAGATTATGAGGATAACTATGAAAATACGTGCATCGTTTCACTGTGTGTAGGCCTTGATTAACCCTGCTACATACTTGGAATTATTTAAAACTCAGTCGTGTCTTCTCATCCTTAAAAATTCTGTTACTAACTTACACGTTTTTTTGCTAAGTTCACGCAGTCTCGATTTTACTTAGAAGCTTTGTTTAACCTCTTACCTTATAACATGTTCTATGATGATTTACTTTCAATATATCCTAATAAATAACCGATAGATATAACGATCATCGAAGCGTCGTATCTGCACGATATCTTAACTCTAATGATTTTGTAAGTGTCATAAATTGAAATTACATTTAAGATAAAATGCTCCTTGTTTCTGGTTATCTTCTTAAGTCCTATCGCGAGTGTAGCTCGATGTTATAAGGCAAAGGGGCTACAGCTATTTGTCCGGTTTTATACTTAGAACGTTCGTTGCAACAAGAAAACAGTCGTGACATAAAAATCCAAAGATAGTAGCGGGGTTAATTGTCAAATGAAAATGACAATGACGATGGTAACACAGATGATTAAGTACCAACGAATGACTATCGCGTGCCTTCGAGACTCAATTCATTGTACGATGCCCGCGTGTACACACGTATACATCGTACGTACACGTGCATACTTCGAAGCGATCCAAGTAACAGGAAGAACAAAAAAAAAAAAAAGAAAATAAAGAGATAAAAAAGGAGAAAATAGTGGAAACTAGAAAAAGAAGAAAAACATAGAATAAGAACAAGTATAAAGGAGCCTGCGAGGAGTAACTCGATACAATCGTATACGGCGTATCACGTGAGATTTATGGACAGATATCCAACATCGAAGGAAAACCAGGCTTAGTATGTCGCGTACTATGATTCAAATTTACTATATTTGACTCGATATATTAGGTTAGTCGAGAAGAGTGTAATACGTCCAGGAGAACTATGTCCCCTGTGTCTAATGGTAACACGTGTCGATCCCCGGACAACGAGGACAGTCTGCTGATAATAGTGAAGAAAGGTGCCAGTGAGTAGTTAGACAGTAGTGGAATGCTCTAATAGATTTCTATGGAAAAAAAAGAGAGAATAGGTGAGAACAGGAATTGTTGCATACCAGCAATGATCGATTGTACGCTCGAGGATCGAACTGAGAAGGGGTGAAGGCGATTTTTCACGGGGAGAATTTATAGTGTTACCTTCATTCAGGGTTGTGTACACTTTCTGAGTTTCCGTGTAATTTTCTTTTTTTTTTTTTATTTTTGTCTTCCTTGCTTCGGTACGTAGTAACTTATGATTGGTACTATTTTGGAAATTGTTGACTTTTTCGTGGTTAATAGAAGTTATTATTTGTTGTTAGTATCTGTTGTCTATTTTGCTAGTAATGATTCATTTTCTATGAATTTCGCGTGATTCTGATAAAGGAGATTATAATTATTATCAATGTTACATGAGTTACATACAGCGCTTGAAATAAAGTATTACGGTGTATTATTAATACTTGTATTTTGTTAATTTTTACCTGAAGAAAGCGATGTTATTTATTAATATTTTTCACGAATTATGTATGTTTCACATATTCTGTTACCAACATTTCGTATGAGTTTAATATTATTATTGTTACGACAGTAATTTCATTTACCTCCAAAAGGGAACACCGTCTGCCATTAATGTTTCTGCTTATTCCCAAAACGATAGTTGCACTCGTCGTTAATATTTCACGAAATCTCTGTATGCCTTCCATAAAGGGATGTCATTAATTTTCATTTGATCATTAATTCTACCTACCCTTAACCGGAAATGCCATTTACTGTTAATACTCTACCATCTCTAGAAACCAACAGGGATTCCCTGAGAAGGGAGGGTAACACCATAAAAGCTCTCCTCGTACGTATGTGGAAAGAAAGAGGAAAACAACCACGATACAACTCGTAATATTAGCAAATTAGCAAGTTGCAGATTGTAGATAACGCTAAACTTCAATTTCGCGTCAAACAATTTTATCTTGTTTAATCATTATTCTACAAGAGAATTTATTAACATTAACATCTTGTAACTTGTAATTTGACAAATATCGCTAATAATAATTAAGTATATATAATTAACTATACCTTTTAGATTTATAATTATATACTTTTAAGAATTTAAATAGTCTATTTTATGTAAAAAAAATATATGGATAAAAGTTTGTTTTATGTATCTTTCGTTTAATTTTTTTTTTTTTTTTTTTTTGGATGCAAAGTTTAAACTTTAGTGGTCGATAATTTAAAAGTTAAGAGATTGGGGTAGGTGACAGGAGGGTTCTTTACTTTTCCACGGTGGTTGGTATTCTCGTCAGCTAATGCCTTTGCCTTTTTGCAGTTTAATTCCATTATAGTGTGGTCTTTCGCCCCTTTTTTTTGTGTCGAGAAGCCTTCTGAAGACCTCTCGATGAGCTCGCACGAGTTTCTCTCTTCCTCTTTCTCTGTTTCTCTCTGGTGCTTTGACTTTTCGTTACGACCGTCTCCCCTGATCTGGTTAACGCGTTAGCTTGGTGCAGAGATAATGGACTCTCGTTTATTCCTCGGCAGAGGGTGAACGAATCTTTGGACGAATGAAATTATTTTGAATAAATTATTTCACGGTTACGAGTTTAACTGTAACGAACTTTTAAGATGTTATTTGGAATTTAATATAAATTTCTGTGTGCAATTAATTTTAATATGTAACCTCTGTGCATTTATTTGAGAATTTTTAATCTGCTCTCCCGATGCTTCCTCTTAACTTTTAACATAACGATATAACCATTATTTAATTAAAAATTATTATTATTCAATTTATAGGAACATATTTAACAGGATAGAACATCCAAATCTTGTTTGCTTGCATTATTACTTACACAAATTCCGATATTATTTCAATTTTTAATATCACAGAAATATATTATGGTACAATGACAGTTACTCGTTAAAATTATTCATTGATCTTTGACAACTGCTTTTCTGAAGTAGGGCTTCATTACAAAGCTGTTCATAGAGTTCTTCTAACAAATGAGCTAATTCTTGATAATAACGAAATTGCTTAAGAACATTGAAATTTCGACAGCGTTTAAACGACCATTATCTCCGCACCTGAAAATTCCATTTTTCAGCCGTATACCCTGACGAGCCACGTTCTAAAATCCTTTCAATTAATACAGAGATAATTAACTATCTCTTCCTGTTCCTCATCCACTGTTTCTCCCTCTTCCCTCTTCGTCCCTTCTATCCTACTTCGTCGAATTATACAAACAGACAAACGGCAAATGTAACGTAACTATAATAACGCGAAATAAAAATCTCCGAGAGAAGGTTTAAAGAAAAAAGTAGGAGAAAAAGAAAATTGAAAAGAGGAACGAAACAGTTCTCTAAGAGGAAAAATGAAAAACCAAAGATCGCTATTATAGTAAGGTCCTGTTCGTGTATACACGTGGGTGGTGTGAATGGCGTGTCTCGTGTGCACGTGTGTACCAGATGAGCGTGAGCTCGAAGGACAGTGAAGAGTCAGTCGAATGCAAAAGAAATGAACAAATTATTCGTTCGTTCTGTTCAGCTACTCTACCAGGCAACTTTCATTCACTATTACAATCGTTTTGTTCAGTACTTACTCAGCAGTTCTCGATGGTTGGTCATTCTATAAACCCATCCGCGGTAATTGCCACAACTATACTGAATAACAAACGTCGTTTCTCATTCGTTCTCACCCTTTCTTTCTCGCGCGACCCCATTTCTCTTCACATACACGTGTTATTATCTGATTCTTTTCTTTTACTCCCTTTGATATTATTTTATTCGTATAGAGTTGTTCGTTTGACGACACTAAGCAATTTGCACACTCGTCGCGGCGACTTCTTCTAGCGGTCGTATTTTTCTTTCGTTTTACTTTTCTTTTTATCTTCTTGGCAACGATTTACTGCGCCCCGATAACTTGGTTATCCGAGCTCAGCCGTAGACTAAGAGTCTTGGTTTGCGCGATCGATAGCTGGGACCACAATGGCCCAAGCAGCCGCGACACGAGCAACACGCTCCTTTCCTTCCACGAGTTCATCGTTTATTGCTCGTCGTTTCAGTGAAATTCGTTCTGATTCCGATACACGAACTGCCTCGTGTAAGCGATTTACTGCCAATTTCGATCCTGTTCTTTCTTTCGATGCTGACAGATATATTTCGTTGTAACGTAAGAGGATAGTCCTGTTTCTATTCATTAGCCATTTATTGCTATGTTTCTCTTCGAAATTGTTAACCCTGAACTTGTATCGATAGATAATTACAATAACATTTTTGCTTCTATTTCGTAATAAATATCATTACTAGCGTTGATGATGTTTTTAGTCTTGAACGATAGAAATGTTGCCAATTAGTATCTTACGTTAAAAATCAATTACGTTGCAATATGCGTATTGATGGAGTATGAACAATTCAAACGATATTGAATAATCTGAAACAAGTAATTCAGGAATTATAACGCAGTTTCTTTAGCATCTCAAAATTCGTATCTATAATACCAATAATTAATATCTGGATAATTAATTTTAAGAATACAATTTATCGTTTCTTCTATTTTCTAAGAATATCCTCGAGTAATAAATTAATTGTCCGTATTAGCAGTAAATTGCAGCAAAGTGTTGTGTTAATAAATCAATGAAAGACGTATCAATTCAGGTCATCGCCAAACAAGTTAACGTGACAATGTAAATAATTGTAAATTGTGATAATTGAGAGATATTAAGCAACGACACGAGAGTTTAACAAAGCGATGTGCCGCAACACATTTTAATTCTAATTTTAATTCTAGCGAAACAAAACGTTCTTCGTTTGACAATATTCCTTTGACGATATTCCTCTTCTTCCATTTCTATTTTTCAAAGCGATAATTTTCAAAATTTGCACTTCATTTGCAGTTCAAGTTCGTTATTAATGATACTTCATTATCTATGTTATGCTCTGGACTAATAGATAATTTCCCTATGAAATTTATCGCCACGTTATGTTCCCTAACATACTATTACGTGTTTTATTTGCAAATTATTTGTAGAACGCGTTCAGCTGCAATTTCATGAACTTTTAATACGTAGAGTGTTTCGCCTGAAATATAGCGTAGATAATAATCGTTCGAATTTTAAGAAGAAATGTTTTAGAACGTTTTAACTTCAATATCTTTTTCAGACTTAATCGAAAATGCGAATGCAATTATTGGGAAATTATGCATCGCGTGTAATTGACCACCCTGTTCAAGTGAACTTCAAAATTGTTTAAAAAACAGGATCGAAATGCGGACGTATCGCTTGCACCAGTTGCATTCCATCGTATTATCTATTTTCATGTTTTCCCGTTTTCCGTACATTTTTAAGCAAAATATTACGCGAAAACGCGAGGTTGAATTTAAAAATACCTAAACGTGCCGGAATCAGTCACGTATAAAACGAGTGAATCCTACCATTTATCTCGCTGTAGCGAAGCGAAAATCTCCGGGGCGATTTCCAATTTCCGTGAAAATGAAACTAAAAAATTGTCTATTTTAAATAACACTGAAACAATAATAGTTAATCCTGTCACAATTATATAGCATTTATATCACTTTAACTTCTTTCTATTAATCAAATCTTTAGATTCGTAATTTTCACACTGCGAGTTTTTATATTTCCGAACGTTACATCAGCGTTCAGGAAATTCTTCTCAGAATTCAGATTGAAATTCAAAATGTGGAAATTCAGATTTAAAAAAAGAGATAAAAATCACAATGAAAAGCTGTTACATCGATAGAAGGATAAATCTGAAGGAAATGTATTAATTTAAGAACACTGTAAGCACATTACTGCGGAATTTTAAACTCACTTTAGATATTTCCTCTTTTCTAAAACAAAGTCTCTGATGACTACTATACTCGCTTTCTAAATTAAGAATTCGAAAGGAAATCCATTAGCGCAAACTGATTCCGGCTGAACATGAGGTACAGATGTTTCTTCGTTGAAAAAAAGAAAAAAAAAAAATAGAATGACCTACAAAACTGAATCAAATTCACTGGAATTGTTTATCACGTTTGATTGAACAGATAATATGAACAGTTCGTTAAAAGAATCTGAAGAATCCCTCTGCTTTCAAAAATTTGATGGCTTAATGTGTCAGATAGTTTCAAGAAGAATATGAAAAATTAGAGAAATCATGGAGAAAGTGAGAAATTATTGTAAATACGAATCCTGCATTTATAATAATTTGGCTGTTATCGCAACAAATTTCAAATAAAATTTTATATTAAATTATTATTATTTCAAAATTTTATCTTCTTTACTAAACATGAGATATATTTTTCCTAATACATTCTATATTTTAATTAAAACAAAGTGTAATGAAACAAAAACGTTTTTAACATAACAAAATGTGGTCGGATATAACAGAAAACAATTAAGGAAATAAAAGTGTGAGAAATAAATAAATATTTAACAACAACAACAAAAAATAAACAGGGATGGGAAAAGGTTCGGATGGACAATGTTAAACAAAAATAAAAACAACCTGTACGGCACCCTATTTATTATCTATAACTGATACACGTGCTGTAAAATCTTTATTCAAAAATTCAAAGGAATATTCTCCTCGTACCATTCATTTTTCCATGTTTTCCATTCGACAAAAATAATCGTCATATTAACCTACTTCGCTAAAACATCATATTTGCAAAAATATACCTATCAAAGACGATTAAATCCAGATAATAACATTACTCTGGCCAATTAACAGTCTTATATACTTTTCTAAAACAAAGAAGAAAAATGATTAATTCGTGCCGTAAATAGTAAATAAAATTTCATAACTACGGTAAAGTGAACCAAAAAAGAAAAAGAAAAGAAGAGAAATCGATAAAACCTGTCGAAATTATAGAAAAGAAGCTAACGAGAGGAGCTTCGTAAAAAATCTAATTTTATCGATAGTATTATAATCTTGGAATAATTTCACTGCATCGTGAACAAAAAATAGACTCCAATTCGTCAATTCGTCTCTTACAATTAGTCAAAAATTCGTTTCGTCAAACCGAGTGAAACGGATTCGATTCTCTCAGCAAAACCACGAATACTACTATATAATAGTTACTAACAAGTCGAAAAGTACTTGTGCGGGTAATAGTTAATCGACGCCTTGATAACGAGTTGAATTAAGTACTGTTTGAAACGTCAGACGGGTATCTGGCCACGTTGAACGCCGTGTGAAACTTTGTTAGAGGAATTTTGATTTCAGTAATGGATATGGTTTGTTTGAAGTCATTCACTCGAGATGACTGTTAACAACACCAACACATAAACTGTGGATCTGATTTACTATTCGTTTGGAATTTTAATTGCATTTTTATTTTTATTTTAATTTTAATTGAATAATAGTTAATAAAAATCCTAGATCCACAGAACACATTCACAATTTTGCGAAATTATTGATGCAAAATGTGTAATAGCAAAATCTTATATTTATTTGCTATTCGCTTATTGTTCATTTACTATCAGTTTTTGACAATGCATTGATAACTGAGAGATTTATGGGAATAAAAATCGTGTCAATTCATAGGTTCTATAACCTAATGCATACATTTTTATAAAGTCATTTTACAAAATTTCGATCGAATTAGTTAAACATACAATTCATTTAATTAACTAGTATATTACTCAAATATGGTATACAATTCTAAACAAATTTGTAAAAATTAAATCATCTTCGTGTGTTCTCCTTTGCCAATGTCAGGATTCAATGAAAATACTTGACAAGATCGCTCGAAAGATCATCCGATGCATCATTGGAAGTAAGGGAGTCGACCTTGAAGTACCAATTAATTTCAATCAGACTATAGCAGAGCTGTCTGTACTGAATCCAATTTTTTTGTAAAATTCCATTTCTGTTCAATTTTTATATTTTGTTATTAGATATATGTAAATAGATTCAATTTTCGAGCTTTATTTGTGATAAATACTGTATCACACGACGTAAAACGTATTTGAGATTGCCACTGGACGGAAAACTCCGGAAAACACGCGGGAATCGCTGCAAAACCACGATCATCCTGTAGGAACAACCCTGGGGAAGAACCTTCAAGCATCGTCACTGATTTATAAGTTCCAAGAGGCCAACAGTAAAACAATAAAAAAAGATATCCAGGAAAAAACCGAAAATGCTTAATCGATGCGAATTTCGCTGGAAAAGTCGGTCGTCTCGAAGACACGCGAGTCACGAGGCGAATCCATTCGATAGACGTGGAAACAGAGGCTGAATACATGTCTTGAAAATATAACAACTGATTTGAGCAAGCACAGACAGATTCTTTTAAGTTCGTCATATAACGTGTACAGTTTGACCAATATAATTTTGCCACTCATTTGCATGAGTCGATAAAGGGGAACTGATATTAAAATCGGATCGAAGATGATTTTTTTACTATTTAGGATAGCTTAGTACAGTATCTAATTTCGAAAGAAGATAGATGATTTAATGGTAGAAGACTCAAGTACTTTTCACTCCTATACTAAAATAATTACTAAAAATGAATTCGACGCTATTTTAAGTACACAAGAAGATTCTTCTTTTAAGATCAAACAATCGTTAATAATGATATTTATATTTGTGAAAATAATTGTCAATCTGTTAATGGACTAACTCGATTCAATTGATCTTTCTGGTGTTAAGATAGTAGTCGTGTAAACTTAGGATTTGTTTGCAGATTGTATTGATTCTAACTTCAGTGGATCTGTGTACAGTTGTAGATTGTTCCACTATTGCAACTCGAATTCCTTTATATTCTTGTTGATGGTCTACTGCAGAAATGGTACAATCTAACTATCAAAGATACATTGGTCAAACTATACACCTAAACCAACATTATTGAAACCAAATCTCTCTGAGCGTTTCGGATCTCTTCTACTCCTGTCTACACATACAAGAAACCACTTGATATACATACAAACGTTCATGTCATGTACATAACGTCTGATCTTCATGGACGTTGGAGATATTGGTTTACCATAGATATGTGTAGAATATTGAGCGGTTATTCTAACAATAAACGTATTCTGCAATTCAGAAAAACGGTTAGATGAATAGATTGAAGCATAAAAGACTTCAATATTGGACGATATTGATAAAAATTAGTGACGTTCATTGATAGAGCCTCTCATAGGATTTTCTACCTCTCGAACTGGAGGATTAAATTCCCAATAAGTTGATGGTCGAACGTAATTTCAAATCGTATACATACAAACATTATGTATTCTTATAATGAATATGAATGATATATCGATATGCACAACCACTGTGTGTATACAACATAGAATTTATGAATCAAAAGAGGAACAGTTGATATTCTAATAATTAAATCCCATTAATAGAATTAATAAAAAAAAAGCGAAGAGAATGCTAGCGAATCTCTATTACAAGAACCAGTCGGTTTGCTCAGATAAAAAAGGTTCTATTATGAAGAAAATTCCACTATGCTCCATTGTTCGGAATTTGTCGAGGAATAAACAGTTTATATAATAGGCGCTCACTAATTTTCCCCGCGACTTATTATTTTTCGTTTGCGTAATAGAAGCTCACATTCAGATAAGTGAACTTAACCAGCAATAGTTCACTTAATCAGGCATTAATTAAAATTTCTTTCCAGTAAATGGAGTTCTATTGTATCAGAATTTAAACTTGTATTACTTTCTAACCATCAACCTAAGGAAAAAGAAGAATCCAAATTAAAACCAACCAACCTAACATAACTTCCTTTCTGTTTCCAGCATTATCTTAAAACGGTGCACCATATCCAGGAGTAGAAGATCCCCATTTTACTCAAGAGCATCAATCTAAATTCATTCTAAATCCATTCTAAATCCATCGTTCTTAGAAACTCTCAGATTTAACAAGATTGTGCTGATGCTTCAAACCCTCGATCAAATCCATATGATGAGGCGGTTCGATCACGTTCACTTTACGTTCCCTGAAATATTCTCGCCTCTGTTTGTGGCTATCCATGATCGAGCACGTGGCCGTCTCGCTATCCCTATCGACGGTCGGTTCGATCCGATCCTCCTGATCGCTCACCTGGACAATACTGTCTGGGATGGGCAATGGTTTCGCCACACCGATGCGCACGGTGCCCTTAGGGGCGCCTTTCAGCGCCTGCACCGCCTGGTCCAGCGTTGCATTCTCCAGGGCGATATCATTGACGAAAAGAAGACGATCGCCTGGTATTAACTGACCATCTACTTGAGCTACGCCACCGGGCACCAGTGATCTTATTACTATCACAGTCTCATTGGGGTTCATTGGATCCTAGAACAGACAGATGGAAGATTGTTAGTGTGCTGGTTTTAGTGTTTAGACTGGGTTTAGGTGTACGTCAAAATAAGTGTAAGAGTACATTTAAAAGTGTTGCTGTGAGAGATACCGACTTTATAATAACTCATACAATAATGTATTTATGATAGAGATTATATATTAAATTAAAGATTGTTATATTGTTATTATTTTGGAGGGGTGATTTTTTTAGGGAAAGAGTGAAAATTTGAAACTTTTAAATGAGAGAGAAGAAGGACTTGCAAAGAGGAGGAATGTAAGGAATTTTGAAAACGTTTGATTGTTATTATAAACAGGAAGTTTTTGAAAAATGAATACATATTGATCGAAGAGTAATAGAGACTGTATGCAAGAAAGGATAGCTTGGGGATATTTTATTTTTCCGGATATTTTCAATCCAATCTCTAAAATCTCTTAATAAATCATGCGCATTCGAAAACTAATATAACATGAATTCGATTGACTTGGGTCGATTTTCTGGCTTCTTCCATTACGCAACCCCCCAGTTATGTAACACGTTAGAACCCTCGTAACCCAGCTACCAAATCTTACTAAACGCAATAATCCCGGAAATTCCTGTACTATACATCTACACCAATTAGTCCCAAACCGATAACGCTAAATCTACTTAATACTGAAACATCAATATCATTATAATTTAATGTATCGATAACAACACAATATACATACCGCATAACGACGATTGCGTTATTCTTGATATAGAAATCATTATTTTATTACATGGTAATTATTAACTATATTAAGTAATAAGTAATTATTAATTTATGTAATTCCAAACTAAGATAATTTGAATGTTTGTGGTTAGATTAGAATTTCATAAAACGTCCGCCATTAATCAATTACAACTAATATCGGTAAAACATA